ATCTAACATTCTTCCCTTTCATCTTTTTCTTCTAAAAAGAAAATTTCTCTCATATTCTTCCCTCTCATCTATAGACATTGCCAATGATAGCGTCGTTTCTCCAAACAAAAATCGTCTGTAAGTTTCATTTATGTTGTTATTGCATGTGTTTAGGGTTTTCCAGTAGATGTTGATATTTGTTATTTTTTCCGGATTTTAACTAATATTTTTTTTAAAATAAAGTTTTAGTCTATGCATGTCTAAAACGAATATATAAAGTCAATGATTTAACTTATTTTATTGCTTTTAAGTCTGAGTCAATTTTTTTTTTTTACTTTTAACATCACTACACCAAAATTAGGTTTTTGTGGCAATTAATTTATTCTTTAGCGACCATATAAATGGTCATTATTTTTTTTACCAGCATTTAGATAATGGCTGGTGTATCCAGTGTCGCTAATACTATTACCGGCATTTATATAAAATGCTGGTAAAGACCTACTCTACTAAATTGTCGGGAAAACTTATTTTTTTTAGTGGCAATTTTAGTAGCCATTTTAAAGGCTATTAAAAGTTATTTTTTCAATTATCTCCTTTCCATCCATTAATTTAGTGACTTTTATCTTTTGCTAGTAAAACTTTAAATAATTTATTCCTATAATTTTCTTTTCTAAATTCATAACTTATATACTCTCTTTTTTATCTCTAGTCGATGTGAGATTTGTAAGATGAGGGTTATCTTCTATTTATATATTTTTTTTAATTGTCTTATCTCTTAAGAGATGTGAGATTTATAAGGTGAAGTTGTTCTCTAATTGTTTAATAGCACTATTGAACTTGGTAATAGTGGGTGATTTGATATTAATTTATTATAGTGAATTAAGAGTGTAACTCAACCCTATAAATCAACTTATAAGGTGATAGTTATTACTCACTTATATACTATTTAATTATCTTATCTCTAATCAATGTGTGACTAGTTTTTTTCAATAAATAATTTTCGCTAATAATAAACTTTAGTGTAATATAAATACACTTTTAGTGGCTATTATATATTAGCCATTAATATTTTTATTATATAATTAAATAGCGGCAATTAAATTATTGTCATTAAACCATTGTCGTTAAAAATAATTTTTGTTGTAGTGCATGTTTAATCGAAATCATAATGTTCCTTATCATTAGTGTGTTCAACTTTAATTTTTAACTTATTCAGTCATTGAATGTATGAACTGAATAATAAACATGATCAATGTGTTTTTTTTAACTTTATTACTGATTGCATGGATACAGAATACATAGGATTTACTTTTGTTATTTAAATTTGTTATTTGTTAATTTTATTTACGAATGATAAATGCGATTTTCTTTATTGTTAGGCCATTGGGAACACACTTCAGTTCTTTTTTGAGACCAAAAAAAGGTATTTAACGTTATTTTTTTTTATAAATTAATAAACAAATTTTACCATTATATATTTGATTGTTAATTTTTTAAAATTTTATTTTTTCCAGGCACAAATATTTTGGAAGTATTTATTTTATAAACAATGGAAATGGAAGTTAAGTGTATGCCAAACTATTGATCCAAAAGGAAACACTTTCACTCTTGGTTTAAAAAATATTGGTCCGACAGTCAGACTTTTTAAAGAAGGAGTAAAGGAATTACTCCTATTTTATGGTATAAAAAAAACATACTATTGATTTTCGGTATAAAGGTAATAGTAGATTTGATATGCGTATTTTTAATATGGATGGTGAAGAAATTATTTATCCCGACAATCCAAACTTTGAAAATCTAAGATAAGACTTAATTTACAAAATTTCTTAAGTAAGTTGTTTATTGTCATACTTTAAATTCATTGAATGTTGGAAGTTTTTGTTATCAGTCACAATAACATAATACAAGAGCCCAATGAGGATGAATCAAGAGACCTGAAACTAATAATTCCACCAGCACCACAACCTAATCACGAACCAAAGGATAACCTGCCCATATATCCACCATGATATTTGACTCTAACAAAGGAAGCAACTACATGGAAACAACCATTGGTGAGTAAATAATTTACTTTAAAATCATTTTATTAATGAACTTTGTATATTTTGACTCAATAATTAATATAACAAACATATGATTAATATAATATAGTTTACTAATTATTTAATTGTTTGGTGACATAATTTTCTTGTTAAATACGTCGTTGCTTGGAACATATATGATTATGGATATTGTTTTTTATTTGATGTCAATAAAAAAAACAATATGAATCATATATATATATAAGCAGAAGATCGTCCCGCCAAACTAAGGAGTGTTATTTGGGTTCTGCATGGATGCAATTTTTGAAGGGTGAAAAATTCAAAGAGGGTGACGTCCTGAAGTTGGAAAAAGTTTTTCACTCAGAATATCTACTGATAAACATTTTCAAAATTTAGTTGTTGTTGTCGTGAATCGTTCAATATATTTTTTTTGTTAAACATTGGTAACTTTTATACTTAGTTTTGGTGTCATTTACTATGATATGCATTCTTTTAATTCCAATTACGAGAAATACAGAAATATATTATTTTGTAAACTAATTAAAAAATTACCTTAATTTTATTTTATATAATAAAAATAATTGTAAAATGTGATTATTTTTATAGTTATTAGTTAAATTTTAAAATTTTCATATTTTTTTACATATTTATTTATATAATTTTCAAACTTTTAGTGTCCTGTTTTCGAAAACAAAAATTGTACATCTTTGTAATTGTATTCTGCAACCCTAACAAATTATTTACTCTTATTAATAAATAATTATATAATTCATATTTTAATATAATTAATTAATTAATTAATTTAATTAAAAATATTAAAATTGTAATCAGTTTCTATCAAACATTGGGAAAATGATTCTGATAGTAAACACTAAACACGCATGTATTATTCAAACTGACCCTGCTTCCTTACTACACACGTGTATGACTATATCATGTCATTATTACTGCATACTTCTGAAATCATCATTGCTTATCGGAATCATGTAATTGCAGTCATACATAAATAAATTTGATATCCCTCATGAAATCTGTATGTGCTTCGTAAATGAAAATAGGGTTTCTGTCTCGTCAGTTGTATATTAATATATTTTTTTATTACATAATTAATATCTAGTTGTGTAAAGTTATTAAAAGACTCTTCGTTTTCCCGTTTAGGGTTTACACCCCCCCTTAATGACTTATTTAAAGTGACCTACAATACACACTTTTCAAATTCCATAATTGATTACCATATATTTTCATTTTCAAAGTGTTCATATGTACGCTGAGTGAAACTTAAATTCCATAACACCATTGCCTTCATTTTGGGTTTTATTCAACATTCAGTTCATCCTTCTCTCATCCAGGTATGTCTGTATTGACTTTCAAATTTTAAAAATGACATCTTCGTTTGGGTTTTATTCAGCATTCACTTCGTACTAATGTTTTCTTCAGATATTAAAGATGACATATTCTTCCACATCAGTAAACAATGACAAGTTCAAATACTGGTTTCAAACTTCTGCTACAAAATTAACTCCAGGAAAAGTATTTTCATATTATTTTTAATGTTCACTAATACTGTTTATCAACTATTGTTGTTTGTAATCTAACTTTTATTATTTCAATATACAGGATTCAATGAAAATATGCAAGAACTTTGACCAATTTTGGGGTCATCATTTAGTTACTGATTTATGTTATGCCATGGATCCCAATGGCAATGTGAACACACTTGTAATTTTTAAAAGAAAAAACAAGCATTGGTTTACAAGTAGGTGCACTGATATGACAAATTTCTATCAAATGAACACAATTCATGTTATTATGATGCACTTTATAGGAAATAATTATTTCCAACTACATATATTCAATGAATTTTTTTTAAAAATAGATTACCCAATTTCAAACGCATTCGTCAACCAACATACTATTGACTTTTCGACCAACTTTTTTCAAATATTCAAAACCAACATAAATAATGAACAAGTATTAATTTTAAAGTTACTAATTCATATACAAAATGTGTGGAGTTCTTTGTATGAATATATTTTTTTTAACTTTTTCTTTTACTTATTTAAAGCAGGATATATTGCGACTTGGAGGAACTTTTAATTTTTTGGCAAGATAGGATGAATGTTGGCATTGTCATCATTACTGATCTTGCAGGAAATGAATTTTCTTTGCAATTACAATATGACTCAACCGGTATTGATTTCCAGTTCACTGGTGCTTTGCAACTAGTACAAATATATCATCTTCAAAACAATCATCTGGTTTGAATTCATTATTTAGAACATAATAAGTTCTTAATAAGGGTGTTTTTTGGAAGCAAGATCTAAATTAATTACGATATTGGAAAAGATGAAGAAAATTTACAACAGTTTATGGTTGACAAAAGTTGGGTCAAAATAATTACTAATCAAGATTTTAAAAATTTTCAAACACCGGTAAGTTTTATGGTAATTAACAACCTATATGGTAATTTGTTAAAAAAAATTATATAATCTTATATTTCATGACTAATGATAACATGTTGGTTTTGTAGACTATTCCATCTCATGTTGTTAGAGATTTTATCCCAGTTGAACAAAAAATAATAGTCTTGCAGGATGAAGATGGAAATCAATATGTATGTGACTTGAAAGGAAGTTCTCATGAAAGGTACATGGTTGTAGGATGGTATGAGTTCGTCTACTCCAACAACTTTTTGGTGGATGATGTCCTTCAGTTTTATTTTACTCATAATCCTAACATACTATATGTATAAAAAGGCTAATGATGTTTCCCTTTATTTGTGAGAATTTTGTACATAACAGATAATGTATTACATGACTTTATCTGTTTTTCATTTATAATTTGTAATCATATTATTACTTTTTTTATCATCAAAATTAGTACAGTAATTTAACACAAATTATACACACAATATTTTCTTATTTAACCAGTCAATTTGCACATGCATAGTCAGATAAAATATAAATCATTTTCTCCATCTAAAGTCATAAGTATTTAAAATTTTGGCTGAATATCATTTCAAAATAAGTGTAGGACAATCATTTTTTCACAATATAAAATTTAAATATGTTTAAATTTCAAAATTCACTTATAATTTTGCATGGCAAACTAACAACATTGTCTCAACGTCCGTTCTAGTCAAAGCAAAACCATTGTTGCTTGTAAAATTTAGCATCTAAAGCTAAGAAATCACCATTTTCTACCCTGGTTTTTTACCTACAAAAAAAATGCCAAACGTGACAAGCATTATATAAAAAAATATTTTAATGTACAACACTATCAACAAACAAACTTACTTGTTTCAGTGCCCCCATTCATAACATTTTGAAGTAAGTCAGACCAACTAGATGCACCAGCCATGTTCATCAAACGATAATTCTACAACATTATGAATGTTTTAATTTTTTTATATTAATAACATATTATGGATAATGTATGTATATACATTACGGAAACAAAATTAACTAACCTCATTTATTGGCAAGTATTGTGGATATTGAAAGTTTAACATCTGTTGTCGCTGGTTATGATTATAAAAAGGATGTTGCACAGTAGCAAACTGATTATAAGTACGGAGAAAATCAATTCTTTCAATTAATTCCAGGGAAAAAACATTTTTTTTGTCAGATTCTTCAGCTTCCTTCATTAACATAAACAAATTACAAGTTTTAAAAAAATTATATTTTGATCCTTAAGGAACTCAACAAAAAAAAATATTACTCACAAACTGGTTCTCTATTTTTTCACTTGAAGACTCCATGTTCACATCTTTCACTAAATTACAAGAACTTGCTTTTCCTTTTGCTTTTACATTTTTTATCACAAATCTTCCTACCATCTGTATGTACTTTTGAGCCACTATTTGAAGCTTTCAATTTCTGAAATTAAATATGATAATACAAAACAATGATTATAATCAAATACAAAGATAAATATTTTAATACATACATATATGAAAATAAAATTCACTTACAATGTTCTCCTCCTTCAAATTGGGTTTTGAAACCCTTTGTTTCTTATATTTTAATGTTGTTATACTTAAATCATCATCCATTCATTTATTCTGTACATTCGATTAATCAACAACTTTCATAAATTAATCACAAAATACAAATGATGAGACTATTAAATTTTTTTTCAAATATAAATTAAAGACAAGAAATACCTTGACTAGAGCACTACTGCCATCTTCTTTGTTAGTATCATCATCAGAGGATGTAAAATTTCCTTGTAATTAACAAAATAAATTACTTATATAAACTGATGTGTCAAATAAATAAATTAATTACCTAAAATGATATTTCAAAATAAATTACTTACACTTCTTTGATCACTATTTATAACACCAGCATGATCCAATTCTGTAGTATCCTCACTGGAACTAAAGTCATAATCCATGAAAAGGAGGATAGGACATGTTGAAGCTACATGACCAGTTAAGTTACAATTAGAACACTTCCTACTCTTTTTCTTGACATTTTTCTTTGATGGGACACCTTTTGTCTTAACAACAAGGGGGTCACAATAATCATTACTAGCATCATATCCATTGTGGTGCAAACCAACTTCTTTTTGTAACTTATCAGTAAGCTTCAAAATTTCATTCCTTATGAAATTATAACTTTCACGACTCTTTGAGGCAAGGTGACCAAGTCTATTAAAACATTCACTTAAAACCCCAAAGCGCACAGTAATAATCATATCATTAGAATTATCCCGTCTCATAAGACATATAAACTGAATTTTTAGCATCCTTCAACCATCGAATGCCTATTAAACGTGGAGGAAACACAAGAAAAAGGTGATATCGCATAACACATATAATATGAATACAAGGAATGCCACAAGATTCAAACATCATACAACCACATTAATATTTGCACTGATCTTTGTCAAAAACAACATTGTGTAAAGATTGATGATGTTTATAATTGTCAACTGTGAATGTAAGCTCATCACCAATGTCATTTGTATCAATAACATTCAAAGATCCAGTAGTAACAATCTCAACCTTTACCCATTTAAACACATCACTGGTATATATTTTTTAGGCTTTTTTTTCAATTAAGGGCAAACACGTGGATAAAACAGGTTCTGTATAAAAAGAATTGAAATCAGACAACAACTCATTATACCTATAATCTCTTAAAGAATGCTCAAAATTGTACAACAACTCAACTATAGTATTTTTTCTCTTCAAATAAGACTTTATGCATGAATTTATTCCTTCACATAAAGAAGTAGTCCTTATACTCATAAAAAATGTCACGTAAATAAGCAGTAGCCCACATAAACCGTTTTTGGTAAGTTTGTTGAACCCAATTATTGTCTTGTAGTTCATGTCTTTCTATTAACTCATTCCATAATCTTTCAAACTTTTCTGGGGTAAAATTACCGTACATTACTCTTTTGAAATACTTCCACAAATTATTATTCTTAACATTCTAACAAGCATTTTTTTGCAAATGCCATGAACAAAGCCTGTGTGTTGCTTCTGGAAATACTTGCTTAACAAGCATTCAGAAAGGATTCCAACACCCACCTATATGCCTCGATAATTTCATTAGAAACAATAACACAACCAAATATAACAGTTTGAGCATGGTGGTTTTTACTAGAAAAAATCACCAATGGCTTGTTATACTTATTCTTCTTATATGTACTATGAAAAGCAAGTACATCACCAAAACATTGAAAATCACTTCTGCTGATGCCATCAGCCCCAAATAGGTGTTTTAACTGACCCTCACATGATATCATGTACCTTGAAAAAAATAATGGATCATTATCTGCCTTGCCTTGAAGATAACTTAAAGCAACCACTACATCTCCATCTTTGATCTTAGAACGCTTACTACGCTCAATATGATTGAACAAATCTTTTTTGTTAAAGTTAAGGCCCATATGACCACCTATTTGGTCCAACATAAAACCCATTATATGACATGTCCTAACACCTTGGGCATGTAATGAATCAACCTGAGCTTTGTATGCAAAAGTCAAACCACGGTACGTACAAATTAATTGCACAAAATTAGAACCACATAGAATATGATTATGACCTTCCTCAAATGAAACGACCTTAAATTTAGAGGTTTTTGGATCCAAACGTACACGTAACTTTGCTTTGCAATCTATACGAGATAGTGGTCTATGTTCTTTTTTCATATCATCTCTCATAAAATGTTTTTTTGTCTCTTAATCCAACTTTGTTGCATAAATATTGTCGTATCACAATATTGTGCTTATCATCATAACCTATCTCATCTTTTCTGATCCCAAAACCATGACACTTAGCATAAGTGAAGTAAAATTTATAAGCAGTATTTTCACTTGCAAACTCCAATCCATAAATATCATCTGCCGTCTGATCAATATAACTTTTGTATACATCGTCATCACCTTCATCTTCTAAATTGACCTCTTCATCAATTTGACTATATATATTAATTACTTTTTCAACCTCACTACGATTACAATCAATAAAACCATTTTCATTCAAATTAGACATATCTTTAAACTCATCCATTTGCATAACAATGATAAAAAAATAAATACATACACAATATTATAAATGTACTTGTTATTCAATCGAAACAAATAAAACCTTTTACTAAAATAAACATGCATTTCATAGTTTCTAACAAACTTCAAAAGAAATCCCCTTTCGAAGAGTAACCTAATACAAATGAAGAACAAACCTACTTTGGAAGATGAAGATGATAAAAATGAAGCAAACACAGTAATAGAAAGAAAATGAATAACGAAATCCGAACCTCAGTCGAAACCCTATGCTGAAGATCGTCCAACCTAGATACTCGTTGTGGTATGTGGAACGAAGGGTACACGGTGAAGTTACCGTCTTTGATGGAGCTTTTGGTAGGCATAGTAGGTTTTGGAGCACCGGAGACCAGAGAATGGGAGGTGAGCGGAAAGAGAGAACAACAAAAAATCAGAGGTGAAATAGACAGAAGAAGCAAATGGTGCTTTTTGTAGGGAGAATAGATTGTCCAGCAACGGAGGAGAGAATGAGAGGTGCTTGCCAGAGATGCGCCAGAGAGAAGAGGAAAAATGAAAATGAAACGGGTTGGGAGATGAAGAAGATAAAGCATATTTAAATATGCTGAGAGCTATTATTTAAAAGGTTCACTACTACAATAGGGACATTTTACATCAATTCATTTGGATAATCTACATCGGTTCTAAAATCGATGTAGATTCAGGCGATGTAGAATGTGAGAGACATTCTACATCGGTTCTAAAACTGATGTAGAAAATGGATAAAATTACATCAGTTCTCATACAAACCAATGTAGTATATATATTGAACACTTTTTTCATCAGTTTATGAAAAAACCGATGTAGTATGTATTCTTTTTTTGTTTTCCTTATGTTTTGATTTTTTTATACCAAACTTGTAATGAAAATATTAATATGTCAAAGTCACACATCAATCAACACATATATCAACATATTAATGACAATTCTAACAATAATAAATCAAGAATTCTATCAAAATAATAAATATGAATACCAAAATTAATAATAATAATAATAAATAGTCTTCAAATTTGTGGCTACTTATGACAAACTTGAACATGAGAGATTACACACACATATATATATATATAATATTAATTTCCAAAAAAAAGCATATTAAGCCTGAATTCTTTCATATTAAGCCCGAATTCTTTCATTCGCTCCTCCATGGATTGATATTTGATAACAAAGAACGTCGCACCAGCTAAAGACACATTATTAGGAGACTAGACTGGAAGAGAAGTACAAGTAAACCATAAATCACGTGTATATAATAAGGGAGGATAAGATAGGTACACAGCCATGGACCAGCATCAAGTGGTTCAACCCATCATAGGGTGAAAAAGGGCAACCTAGGTCATCCGACACAGTAATATCCACAGTTTCAAGAGATCAGATATAAACCACAATGACAACAGAAAATATGAGAACTGGTGAAATAATAATAAAATAAAATAAAAGCAAACTCCTCCTAGAGTCTCACTACTCCTTAAAACTCTTCTGCATAATCCCTTAAATAGAAAAAGTTCAAATATGACAAAAACCTAAAGGGCAAACAACACCAAGTCTGAACCCACTCTCAACAATCAATTGGAAATTACATTTGACAGTATAATCCCCAACGTTAACAAGAATCACAAAATCACAACCTATAACACCAACAACATAATAGTTAATCAAATTAATTCTTGATGTATGAGACGGAGTAGGGTGATAATAGAGAATTAAGAGAGGGCTTACGCGAGGGCTCAAAATGTGTCGCGAATTTCACCGTGGATCTGCTCGACCTGAGGAGTCATCTACATGTTGGAGGCCATAAGTGTCAGAGATTAAGTTTGCCCCCAAAATCCCGGAAAGAAGTGAGGTCGGAGAGAAACCCTAATGTATCTGGAAAAGAAATAACATAACCTCACGTTGAGCGCCTGGCAGGGCGGGAAAATCACGGCGCCGAACCCATCAACGACGCTGCCGAAAGGGTAATACGGAACCCCAGGGAGCATCTTCTCAACCTCGGCCCTCTTCCTTTTGGCTGAGCTCTTGAGCTTAAATGCTAGCATTTCGTCGGACGAGAGGCTCCCGCGGAAGTTGGGAGGTTGGAGGGAGTCAAGGACGAGGATGGAGCGAGGCGCCATGCGGGCGGAGAGGAGGGCGCGGGTGAGGGCGTGGGTGCGGTGGGCGGGGACGGGGAAGGGGACGGCGGCGAGAAGGGCGGAGGGGGAGAGGGCGAAGAGGTCGACGGTGTGGTTGGGGCGGGAGAGGGGGAGCTCCGGGAAGAGGAGGGAGGCGGCGGGGGTGGAGTGGTGGAGGCGGCGGAAGAGGGCGAGGGAGGGGGTAGAGAGGGCGACGATGAAGAGGGAAGGGGTGTGGGGTTGGGAGATGAGGAAGGGTGTGGCGAGAGGTGGGGAAGGGGGTGTGAAGGTGTTCGCAGGGCACATATTAGGGTCTCACTTCTACATCGGTCAATAATAAAACCGATGTAGAATTGCTCATATTTACATCGTTTCTTCTCCCAATCGATGTAAATATGTTTGCATTTTTTTTTTATTTACAAGTTTGTCACCGCGTTTATGATTTACATTAGTTCTAGTATAACCGATGTAAATATAGCGATGTAAATATAGCGATGTTAAAGAGTGTTTTTCTAGTAGTGGTTATAAATTAATGAGGGTTAAATAGCAAATATTAAAACATTCTTAAAAAATATAAGTTCTGACAAAATTAACACATGTCATCGTTTATGTGATCCTAGTCATATAGGATTTTGGTACCCCTAAATAAAACTTGCACCAAAAGAAATGCCACTATATTTTATGTAATTTTGCATAGGAACGTTACCATTTCCAGCATCGGAGTTCTCCACATGAGACAAAGAATATACTATTCCAACATGGAAAACTCACTTTTTTGAATCTTTTTACTATTCATGTCAGCATGAAAACTAATATGGGAGCTGCTCTTATGAACATACTTATTTTATTCATGGGAATTGAACACAAATACCAATTAACATGTATCTTTATTCAATCAATTGAACTAAACCCTATTGATTATGAACATTGAAGATTAAATAATCACTCAAAGAACAATTGGTGTTTAAGTATAATTTATGGCAAATGATACATGAGGAGCAATTTTAGTTAGCACCACTCAACTTATATGGTAAGTTATAATTTTAACCCTCCTCTGCCATCGGTAATCTAATAAGACTATTAGGCATATTAATCTTAAATTTAATTAAAGTCTTGGACTAAAATGATTAAACCAAAACTCAACCTTTAATCAACTTCTTTTCCTTAAATTCAATATAGAAAAAACTTGAATTTTATACTCCCATTGGTGCTCTAGTTCTGGTCGATAGCTCCTTGACCAGGGGAAATTACAAGCTTGATTTAATTGATTTTGGGGTCTTAATACCTATTCTTTTTTCTCTTTCACACATTTCCCTTTCACTTCAAATTCATTATCATTTATTTTTCTCTCAAGTGACCGAGCGACTCTATTGCAAAAAGGAGCACCATTTTTGCTTGGTTCTTACCTTGGAGCTTAAAGAACCAGAGCATTCATCTTCCATCACTAGTTCTCCAAAGCCTTGGTTTGTTTTCATCTATCACAAGCCATGTGAGTTTTCTTCTCTATTTTCTATTTGGTTGGACTGCCCATAATCACACTATGATTTTCTCCATCTCATTTTCTTTTTCTTCTCCTTCCCTTGGGCTCAAAATGTTAGTCTTGTTGGTGGCTGGAAACTGGAAGCACCATTCATGAAAAAAGCTTGCAAAAATGACTCAAAAAGCTAATTTGGTAAGAAAAACATTAAAAGCACAAGTCTTGGAGACTTAGTGATTTGTTTTTAGTCTTGGAGACTTGTGATTTGTTTTTAGCGTATACTAGTATTTTAACTTGTACAATAAATATGATAAATAGTGTTTCAATAAAGTGTAGGAACCAATTTAAATTTTTTTAATACATATATAATATTATTTAACATAATTTCTAATACTTGCAAAATTATTTAAGTAATTTTTTTTTATTTCAAGGATTACTTAAATAGTGTTTGATTGAGAAAAAATTGAGGAGAGGAGAGAATCTGCTATAATTTTTTTTGGTAATTTAGTTCAACTTAAGATATGAGAATGGAAGAGAGAAAAAATTCTTCTTCACTCAATTTTTGCCACCTCCAATATCAGAGAAATTTGGAAAGAAGGAGGAGAGAGGAAAATTTAAAATATTTTAAATATAATATCTAAAATACCCGTACATATTTTAAAGTTCAAACTTACAAAGTACAAAAATAAATTAAGTTTTAAAATCCATCATATCTTTTATAAACCAAAAAAAATAAAATTACATGTTCTCCCTTCGTTAGAATCCCATATCATTCTTAACCAAATAGAATATCTAATAAAAAAAATTCTCCACTCCTTCGAATCAAAGGATTCCTTCGGATAAAATGATAATACTTTAAACATGAACCCTTTTTTCAACAAAAGTATCATCATGTGTGTTTTGTTTTCTAGTGCTGTTCACCTCGTGGTAATCCCTAACTCCGTACGCAAATTTCCTAGGCCGGCCACTCCTAGGCATGGACCGATCAATGGCCACTTTATTATTTTAATATGTTAGGTTGGGTTGTCTCTATCCTCAGCTTTGGTTATATACTTTTCTATAATACTAGTTTTCTGTATTAACAATATTCACACACCCACCATAGTTTGGGTGTTGAAAATGGGAATCACGATAACTTTAGCTGCACAGTTTCTCTCTGCTCTTCTATTGCTTGGTTTCTATGGCACACTAGTTTGTGCTAAATACATAAAGTATGATACTGGGGCTGGTGTTGTGCCTGGAAAATTGAATGTTCACCTCGTTGCACACTCCCATGATGATGTTGGTTGGCTGAAGACCGTTGATCAGTACTATGTTGGGTCAAACAATAGCATTCAGGTTAGAATCACAACATTCATTTGTGTTCTATTTTCCGACCATATTATTGTCACAAAGTATCTATCTACTCATTTTGTTAGGCACTAATCTCTTTAGAGAACTTGTTTAGCCACCTTTAGTTGAAGATATAACTGTTGACTTTGTTAGGCTTCATGCTTCATAATTTCAGATTCAACTTTCATTTTTGTTCTCTGCCTGATTTTTTTGTAGGGGGCGTGTGTTGAGAACGTGCTGGACTCGGTGTTGGTGTCTCTTCAGAAAGATCCAAATAGAAAGTTTGTGTTTGCCGAAATGGTAAAATATGTGGAAATCTAGCAGCTATGTTTCAATATGTCAAAAACATAGACACCGTTGATTATGTTCTGGCACATTTACTTGAATCAGCAAATTTAATGATTTCAGTTACTTATGGGCTTCATTTAATTTCTTAAACAAATGCTGTTGGTGTTGGTAGGCATTTTTCCATCGATGGTGGGTAGAACAAAGTCCAGAAACACAAGAACAAATGAGAAAGCTTGTGGATGCAGGGCAGCTAGAATTCGTGTTAGTATATGCTTAAATAAACTTTTTTTATAAACACTTTCAATATTTAGTATCTCTATGGATAAGCTCTTTATAAGTATTTTTATTAAAAAAAAGAAAATAAGAAGATAAAAATGAAATAGACTAATCTAAAAATTAAAATTAACTTGTATATAATTTTAGTTAGAAAAATGAAAAAGTGAGATAGTTAATAAGAGAATTTTTACTCTTAAAAAATATTTTATTTTTTTTCTTGTTAATGGGCTACTATTTTGTCGTTACTTTGTGGTCCAGCTTGCACGTGTGTGTGAGTGATTTGGAAAGTGTGAGAGAAAGAGATTAGGAAATCTTATATGCAGAGTTGCACATGTGAATTGAGTGTTTTTGTCGGCAGAAACGGTGGTTGGTGCATGCACGATGAAGCAGCGACACACTACATAGACATGATTGATCAAACCACTTTGGGCCATCGCTTTATAAAGGAGCAGTTTGACAAGACTCCTCGTGTTGGATGGCAGATTGATCCATTTGGACACTCTGCTGTGCAGGCTTACCTACTCGGCGCTGAGGTAGGCCCATTACGCATGGCCCAATTTCCAGATTTTTTTTATTTTTTATTTATTTTGAATACCTTTTTCAAATAAAAATTTCACTTTTTTTTAAAAATATTGTTTTGATTCTTATGGTAAGAAGAATCATCTTTTAACATAAGTTTTTTTTTTTTTTTTTTTTTTTTT